GAGACCATTGACATCTGCGCAACAACACTGTACCACAATAAGTCCATTACTCCGCCGTCCTTGAACGAAACGGAGTTTGTGAAACTCATGTTAATGGTTACATCTGGCGTTGAGTTTTCATTTGGCAACGTTATGTATAAACAAATAGATGGCGTTGCCATGGGCTCGCCACTTGGTCCTGTATTGGCTAATATATTTGTAGGGTTCTGTGAAGCGTCCATTAGTCCATCATTGTGGCCCTCTATGTACTGTCGTTTTGTAGACGATGTGTACTGTCACGATGAGGATGAGGATGTCTGTGGGACTTTTCTACTAACTCTGAATAGCCTCCATCCGGCGTTGAGATTCACGTCGGAAGCGGAACAAAACGGCAGATTATCCTTCTTGGATGTACAAATTTCACGCAACATTAACACTAAGAGTTTGGACACCACTATCTATAGGAAGCCAACTTTCACCGGCCTCTACATTCCGTGGGGGAGCTATACTCCAACGAAATCGAAGAAACATCTTGTGAAAGCGCTAGTTTATCGTGCGCATAGAATATGTTCCCCTCATCTATTGCAGGACGAATTAGACAGACTGACATCAATATTTACGAACAACGGCTATCCAAAGGAATTTCTGGCCAAGCTTATCAACGAAAAACCGGCGACAGACAAGCCGATCCAATTTGGACCTGACCTTTGCCCAGTGGTGCTCCGTTTACCCTGGGTTGGCGCCGGTTCTGCGCGCGTGGAGAAGGATGTTCGTGGTATCGTATGTCCATCTTATCCGTGCGTCAAGCTGTACGTCATATTTGGGACAGTGCGTGCGTTCAGTGTGAAGAAGGATGTTCTACCTACCCTTAGTAAAAGTAACCTTATCTATTTCTTTCAATGCCGACAATGTGAAGATCGGTATGTAGGTAGAACCCTTCAGCACCTGGGCGCGCGCATTCGTCAACATGTGCCGTTAAGTTTTGTTCCGCTTGATGCGCGTGAGTGTCGTCCTCGCCGTGGTCGTCCTCCAAAATGTGCTGTCCAGTCCATCGGTGGATCTTCCTCTTCCTGTGAAGATATCACTGCATGCCCGTCCTCCTCCGCGTGTATAGCGCAGGGTCCAGCTGAGAACAGCGTGAAAGATGGTGAAAGACCGACACGTAAACCACCGAAATTGACAAAGGATCTGTCTGCGTCGGGAAGGGTTACGCGAAGCCAAGTAAAAATACGGACTGGTGAGGACGCACGTACAACGACAACGGAAGTGACAACAACAGTCAATATTCGAAAACGTGGTAGACCGCGAAAACGAACCTCAATATCGAACACCGGACAAGTTGGAGTAAGAAGATCAAAAGAAATCCGCAATGGAGGAGACGTAGCTGAAAGGACACTGGGCATCGCGCACACAACGGCTAGTGTCAGAAAACGTGGAAGGCCGCGGAAAAGCAAAGAGACGGATAGTGGTGATGCCGCGAAGAGGCGAGATGACGGGACATTGGAGGAGACTACACCCAACGGAGCTAAGAATCGCACTTCGTCCATCAAGCAACATCTGTCAGCCCGTACCAATTGTCGTGAGTTGTACAGTGATAATGTGTTCTCAATATTGTCACGTGGTAGATGTGCGTTGCATCTGGCTGTGTTAGAAGCTTTGTATATCCGTAAGTTAGATCCTGAACTTTGCGTACAAAAAGAAAATGTGTTGTCGCTACAATTGTTTGGTGTTACTCCTCGTCGAGGTGTTAACAATGTAACTTAATTTGCTCACTATGTTCTTGTCGCTATTATTATGTCCTTCGAGTTTTGTGTCGTGCTGAACTTGATACTTTTTTTCACCTTGTCACGAGTGTTGTTATCTCATATCTTTACGCTATATAAGTTTTAGTCTTTCCAACTTGAGCCATTCCCTGTATAATCCTTGATGAGAAGGGACCGAAAACGTTCGGATACTTTGACAAGTGCCTTATTTTGACTGGATGTGTGTTTATTTATTTATTTATTTATTTATTCAACATCTCCTGGCCCGTCCGAAGACTGCCAATAAACATGAGAGGTCAGGTGATAGCCAACCACGGCAAGCTAAAAGGGAAAAAAAAAAAAAAAAAAAAAAAAAAAGATGCTGTCAGAGAGGGAAAGGAGATAGGGAGAGAAAAAGAAAGGGAGGCACATTAATAATACATGGGATCACTTCGGATGAGACAGTGTAGAAAGCTGGACTGTGAATTTCCTGATATCCTGGCATGTCTTAATGCTAGTAGGCAGGTTAGACCAAAGGGAGTATGCTGAGAAGAAAGGGGATTTCAAAAACAGAGAGGAACTAGCTCGGGGCAGTGATAAGGCATTGCGTGTTGGTCTAGTGGTAACAAACCAGTTGTACTTGGCAATATGTTTCGGGACTTGGGCTAGGAAGATTTTTTGCACAAGGATACAAAGATGCTGCTGATGTCGGGCAAGAAGAGGGTGCGTGGAAGCAAGTTTATAAAGACAAAGGGTGGCAAATGTTTGGTCTTTTCGAAACAGAATTTTCAGAAGCAAGCGTTGATGTACCTCCAGTCTGTGGAGTAAAGTCTGAGACAACCCGCACCAAGCTATATCGCAATAGTCCAATATAGGCAAAATGTACGACTTAAAGAACAATTTTCTGCAGTTATCATTCAAGTGTTGGCAGTGGGGTTGTAGCATACCTAAGGACGCACTCGCACGCTTGCACACAGACTGGACTTGTGGAGACCAGGAGAGTTGGCGGTCGAGAATAACGCCCAGGTGCTTGTGCTCGTTAACAACTTTAATAGGTGTACTATTTAGACCAGGAAAATACAGAAGTTGGGTGGGGGGCGAGGGAGAGAAGAACATGGCCTCGGTTTTGGCGAGGTTAGGCTTCAGTTTCCAGGTTTCCATCCATGTTACTGTAGCGTTGACCCCGGACTGCATGGAGGCCGTGAGGTTGTCTGCCGAGCTGTCGGAGCACATCAGAGCAGTGTCGTCAGCAAAAAGACTTACATTTGGTACAAGGGCTGGCAAGTCATTAACGTACAGTAGAAATAGGAGCGGCCCAAGTATGGACCCCTGGGGTACCCCAGACACGACTAGTAATGGGTCTGATAGGGAGGTAGATACTCTGACAGTCTGGTGGCGGCAGGAAAGATAGGATGAGAGCCATTGCAGGGCTGGACCGTGTACCAAGAAGACGGACTCTAGCTTTGCAAGCAGACCACGATGCCAGACGGTGTCGAAAGCTTTCGCTAGGTCAAAGAACACGATGCCAACATGCCGCCTGAGGTTCCGCTGGGTGTAGATGTCTTGTACTAGACGTGTTAGTTGGAAAGTTGTGGAGTCTCCACGGCAGAAACCGGATTGAGATGGTGAAAGCGCTGGGGTGACGTGGCAGTACAGAGACTCAAAGAAAATACGTTCACAGACCTTGGACACAGCGGGAAGGAGAGAGATTGGTCTGTAGTTGCCAGCCTGAGAGCGTTGGCCTTTCTTATAGATCGGGACGATAACAGCAGATTTCCAGACGGGCGGAAATACTCCTGTACGATATGACATGTTAAAGAGCAGGCACAAGGGATAGGACAGAGATGGCGCAAGCCATTTGAGAACCTCATTGGGTATGCCATCTTCGCCAGGGGACTTACAATTCTTCAGGAGTTTGAGGTGCTTACAGACGGTAGCAGTCGTGGTAACGACGCGTGTGAGTGGTGCGCTAAGTTCAGGGGCTGGGGACAGCGATGGAATGACCCAATTCGGATCTTCCGGAATGCCGGATGAAACAAACTGCTTGTTCAGTGTGTCTGCAATCGCCTTCACATCGTGCTGGCGGTTGCCATGGGAGTCCGTCAGGTACTGGATTGGCGCGCGGGAGGTCCCGCGGCACTGGTTGCGAATGAATTGGTGGAGTGATGGGCGATCGGGGGAGGAGAGTGTTGCAGAAAGAGAGTTTAGAAAGGAGCGGTGTGAGGTACGAGAAAGGTGCTTGACGAAGTTGCGTTGAACTCGGTAAGCCTCCCGGTTAACCGGCGTTGGGAATTTCTTGTAGATGCTGAAAAGATCACGCTTGCGCTTCACTTCAGATACGAGGGACCGTGTCACCCATGGGGGACTAGATGTCGAGGATGTTGGGTTGGAATGTTTCCGGTTGTTGTAGCCGATAGCAAAGTTAGAGAGGTGCTGTTGGAACCCTCGTTCAAGGACGGCTGCAAAGTGATCTACCGCGGCGTCAACAGTTGGAGAGCCTTCTGGTTGCAGAAACGACCAGTCGTGGCAGGAGAAATCAGCGTTCATAGAGTCCCAGCACTGAGAGGGAACTCGACGGAAGCGATATGGGAA